GTCACCGGGTGTACCACACTATATTTGCTAAAATACAAGTGAAGGGAAATCGAGCCAGGAAATCGATTTATTTTAATGTTCTCTTATGGTGTTGTTATCTTATGGTTTTAATTTTAATAACAAAATAAGTAAATCATATTAAGTATTAAGAATTTTAAGCCATATAAGGTGTTCAAAAGCTGTGTATATTAGACAGACTATACATAATTTAATTTAACATCTTTCTGTCTTTACTTTAGAGATTACTTCATACCAACATTACAAAGGTTGACAAATGGTTAAATTAAGAAATTTAAGGTATTAATAAATTTAAAGAGCCAGTTTGGTGTAGTGGTTAAGAGTGTGGAATCTAATCTGGAAGAATCGGGTTTGATTCACCACTCCTCCATGTGCAGCTGCTGGTGTGACCTTGGGTCAGTCATAAGTTCTTTCAGAGCTGTTCCCTCAAGGGCAGTTCTCGGGAGAGCTCTCTCAGCCCCACCTACCTCACAGGGTGTCTGTTGTGTGGAGGGAAAGGGGATTGTAAGATGCTCTGAGACTTCTTCGGGTCGCAAAGGGCGGGGTATAAATCCAATCTCTTCTTCTTAATTTTATTTTAAAATATTTCTATATAGAGTTTAATTTCTGTTGTTATTGTTTTTCCTCCTTAATAAAGTTCATTGATAACAAAATGGTCCCTTTTATTTCCTGTATTTTCCCTTCCAAGCCTTTGCACTCAAGAGCATTAAAGCCCTCTTCATACAGGCCACTTTTGTATAGCAATTAAGTAATTTCGTAATAAAACAGCAAAATTATTATTTAATTATACTTGATAAAATCACAACACAAATTGTTGCATGTGAATATGACATGTTTTAATCTTAAAATAACAATATCAAATATAGGTAATACCTGTTCATTCTCATAAATGGAGATGAATGGTTATCCCAAATTATAAATATCTGTGGTGCTTGACATGGTATTTTTCCCTGTGGGCTTCTTTCCTGTGAGCATTTATGACTGGGTTTTTTTTCCCCTGTGGGGTTTTTCCCCGGTCACTGGTTTGCCATTGCCGGCCTCTGCGTCACAGCCTGTCAAGCTCAGGCCAGTACAGGCCGCTTCCTAATTACTTCCGATTTCAGCCATTCTGGTTCTTATCAATGTACCTTTGCCTTCGCTTGTCGTGGCGCATTCCTGGAGTGTGTGTGAATGTTGTTGGAGTGCTTGGGAGTAGTCGCTTGTAACTTTCTCTAAGCGAGCCCCAAGATAGTTTCTCCTGAGACTGTCCTTGGAGATCTGTATGCCAGGCTAGCTTAGATAGGGCCAACATATCTTTCCCGGTTGCCATAGAAACGCTAAGATCTAGGTATGACGTGTGAATGTGTGAAATTTGGGGGTTTTACCTATATCTTGTCTTTTCCCGCGTCTTGCTTCAGTCCTAACGAAAGCTCTGGAACGCACAGCACCTTCATATCTCTAATAAAGCATTACACTGCCAGTAGTGTGTGTGGAGAGTGAATTGACTGGGGACCTGACAGAGCCCTGGTATTTCTTGGAGGTCTCCCATCCAAATAACTAGCCAAGGCCGACCCCTCTTAGCTTCCGAGGTCTGATGAGATCGGGCTGAGTGTGTATGACTGGCCCAGGGTCACCCAGTGAGCTTCCACGGCAGAGTGGGCCTTCAAACCTAGGTCTCCCAGATCCTAGTCTGATCACCACGCCACAGGTGGAAAAGGCTGTTGAGTCACAGCAGACATTGCGACCTCTACAGGTGATCAAAAGCAAGAGATGTTCAGTGGTGGTTTGCCATTGCCTGCCTCTGCAGACCAACCCTGTACTCCCTTGGCGGTCTCCCAGCCAAGGATGAAGGAGGACCAACTCTGCTGGGTTTCCAGGGTCTGACGAGATCAGTCTAGCCTGGGCCATCCAGGTCAAGGAAAATCACGTTCTCACAGAGAATCAATTATAATCGTTTTCAGAGCAAAGCATGAGCCTCTGCGTCACCTTCAGTGCAAGGGAACGCTGCAACGTCCACCTCCTTTTAGGGGTATGGGAGAGGTCGCGTTTTTGAATGTGCCCCCGGTGTACACAAACACCTCTCGAACGGGGCCACCAGGAGACAGGCTGAGCCCATTCTAGTCCCTACTTTCTTTTAAAAGGAAAACCCTTCTGGGCGCTAGCACAAGTCCTTTTCCTCTTGGATTTTCTACCCCAAAAGGTGATGAGGCCACGAGGGAGATCAAAGCGGAGGCCCTGAGCGAGGAAGAGTCACTCGCGGAAGCGCCTGAGATGGCTGCAGGGGGAGCGCAGCAGAGCCGTGCCTTTCCAAGCGGGTCTGTGTTAGTCAGACTCCCAAAAGAAGAACCGGGAACAACCTGCAATCCAGGTAGGCGGAATATGGGAAACAATGGTTAAAATGTGACTTTGATGATAACCGTTTTTTAATGATTTATCGATTTTACGGGATTGTTGATCTATGTTTTATTGCGTATTGTAAATCTGCAGTAATTGCAGATCTGAATGTCTGGAACCCACCCTGAGCCTACAATGTGGGGAGGGGTGGGACAGAAGTCTGAATAAATGAACAGTTTTCCAAGCAAACCACGAGCCCCTGTGTCGCCCTGTTCAGTGCTAGGGGACACCGCGATGTCCATCTCCTTGTCAGGGGCGGGGACGAGGTCCGTGGCCCCTTCGAGCAGGCCTGAGTACGGAGAAGGGAAAGGGGTGCTTTTCACCCTATTCGCCTCTCTAGGGCTTATTTCGTAGTTTGTTTAGAACAAGGAGAGGTGTCAGACTCATTTGTTACGAGGGCCAGATCTGGCATAAATGTTAATTTGTCAGGCCGGGCCATGTGTGCCATAAAACATAATGTCAGGTACTGGAGATATAAGCTTTATAAAGGGCAAACGCAAATTCAATTAACAATACTATTTTTGTACTCAAAATACAAACATGCTTAAAACATTAACACACTTACAGTATTTCCTCAAAGTATCTCCCTGATGCCCACTCTCCCACTTTCACCGCCCATTACTCATTAGCACCGGGACAGTGTACAGGGACATAATGCACAGCCTCTGTCATCTGGCAATAACAGCAACAACCAGTTGCTCGTGAGCTGGATAAGAGCCCTGGATGGGCCGGTTCCAGCCCGAGGGCCGTATGTTTGACACCCCTGAAGGGCTTCTTTCTGTCTCCTGCCCTGTTTCTGGGCATCCGGAGACTCAGCACTGCCTAACCCCCCCCTGGCTTGAATCGTGGACCCTTTTGAGGCCTGGGCAGGAAGCGGCACAAACCCCATGACGAGAACTGACCTCTCACGGGATGTGCTGCTGCAGTCACTCCCGGCTCCTCCTGCTTCCAGCCCATCATCCCTTAGTGCCAGCATTAGGAAGCCACAAACAAGGATTTGAAGGGCTTTGGCCCTGCACTGCCTAGACAGCTCATCACATGGAATTCACTGCTGCAGGAAGTGGTTGTCGCTACAGGGCACAGACTGCTTCAAGAGGGGATTGCATAAATATCTGGAGCAGAGTCCATGAGGGGCTCTTGGCTACAAAGCACAGAGGGATTAGTCTGGGGCAGTGATGCTCTGTATCCTGGGTGCTTGGGGGGGAGGGATTCTTGAGTTCTGGCCCTGCTGGTGGGCCTCCTGACGGCACCTGGAGTCTGTCCTCTGTGTGACACAGAGCATTGGACTGGATGGGCCACTGGCCTGATCCGGTGTGGCTTCTCTCATGTCCGTACATCCATAGCATGACAGAGCTCAGCCCAGGAGCAGCCTGACTCAGTCATGTCCTCTTCCTGGCTCTCTCACTGGGGCTCCGTGCTCCCCTGGATCGGCCCCGCCACCTTGGCAGGGTAGGCTGGGACAAGTTTGGGGTGCAGCCAGCAACAAATCAGCATCACACAGCCATCTGAAGCGGTCTTGTCCCTCTGGCTCAGCGACTGATGCCGTTGCTGTCCAGAGATCAGGGCAGACTGGGAGGGCAGACTGTGAAGGGAGGGTTCACTGGGACCAGTGGTGGCCCCAGTGCAGCTTGTTGAGCAGCAACTGCTAAGCAGATTGCCCAGGCTGGGCCCCGCAGCAAATTACCTGGTGGAACTCCTGCTGGGCCCTGGGCTTTTTCATATGCCAAGCAGTGCCAACCCTTGACACCAGCCTGAAGAGAGACAGTGAGTGGGACTAGGGAGCGAATGGCAGCACACTTTCCCTGAGCCAGTTTGGTGTAGTGGTTAGGAGCATGGACTCCAGTCTGAGAGAACCGGGTTCGATTCCCCACTCCTCCACATGCAGCTGCTGGTGTGACCTTGGGTCAGTCACAGGTTCTCTCAGAGCTGTGCTCTCATGAAAGAGCTCTCTCAGCCCCACCTACCTCACAGGGTGTCTGTTGTGAGGAGGGGAAGGGGAAGGAGATTGTAAACCGCTCTGATACTCCTTCGGGTAGTGAAGGGCAGGGTATAAGTCCAATCTCCAGTCCAATCCTTTCTCCTCCTTACATGCAGCTCCCTTTCTACATATCCTGCCTCATTTGCAGACTGTGGTTCAGTTGGGGCTTGTGGGTGAAGCCAAAAGGGCATCCTCTGACGAAGAGGGATTTGAAGGGAGAAAGAGACAGATGGCGCCCTGAGGAGAAATCTTTCCGCTTAAGTTTGTCTGGGTGGGAGGAAATCTCTCTCACCTTCATAACGATTTCTGGGATTTCGCATGTGGCTCTCCTTCACGCAGGGACTGGTTTCCTTTCAGATTCCCCCTCCTCTGCACGTTGCAAGGCGCCAGCTGTGAAGTCGGAAGAGAAACCGGGGAAGTCGGGAGAAGGGGAAGCGCCGGGGCTGGCGCTGGGCAGAGAGGAGGAGACCGGAGGGGCCTCTGGGCACGAGGCGGCCGGGGAAAGAGAAGAGGTCTGGACCGGCTACGGGAAAACGTTCCGCTGGAAGTCCGTCCTCACGCCGTGCAAGGCGACCGTCACCGACTGGAAGATCTACCAGTGCTGCGTCTGTGGCAAAAACTACGACGCCAGGTCCATCCGCGCCCACCAGAAGATGCACACGGGAGAGCGGCTGTACGAATGCATCTACTGCGGGAAGACCTTCAGCCAGCGCAGTCACTTTGAGAGCCACGAGAAGATCCACACGGGGGTGAAGGTCCAGACGCGGGAGAACCTGTACATCTGCGTGACCTGCGGGAAGAGCTTCGCCTACTACTCGACCCTGGTGGCCCACAGGAGGACCCACGGGGAAGACGATGCGTCGACGACAGGTTGAGGAGGGACCCCTCGGCATGGGAAGACTTCCCTGCCCGGAGCCTAGGCCGAGAGCCTCGGGAGACGTAAAATGACCCATATTGCGGAGGGACTGTCTCTGCTCTGAACTCCTTGCGTAACCCTCGGGGCGGCTCCCCGGGAGCTCTCCGCGGCCTGCCAGATATTTAAATCCAAAGACAGCCTGGATGGTGAAGTCTCAGAGGGTAGCCATGTTGTCTGTGGTCGAACAGCTCGATTTGAGTAGGGGAGCACCTTAGAGACCGACAAAGATGTTCAGGGTGTGAGCTTTCGAGAGCCAAAGAGCTATTACAGGGCTCTTTTTGTAGCAGGTACTCATTTGCATATTAAGCGACACACCCCTAATGTAGCCAATCCTCCAAGAGCTTACAGTAGCTCCTGTAAGAAGAGCTCTGTAAGCTCTTGGAGGATTGGCTACATTAGGGGTGTGTGGCCTAATATGCAAAGGAGTTCCTGCTACAAAAAGAGCCCGACGAGTCGGACTGGAGATCTCGGAGTCTTTACATCCCAGTCACAAGGTGGGATGGCTGTTGCAGCGAAGGGACTCAGGAGGCAGAGGGACCCGGCAAAACGTAAGCAGCCAGAGTGAAGCAGAACCCGGACGTCCCTAGTCAGAACAGTGGACCCCCCAGGGCTGAATAGGGACATTGGATTCTTCTCTTTTTACAGATGTTAATTTTATGCCCCTAAATAGTTCTCCCTTGCTCTGAATTAAACTGATAAGATCTTGCATTGGAGCCCTGCATCCTGGCTCCTCCTTTGCAGCGCCCCTCCCACCCTTTGACTGGGATAGAAGGACGCCGAGATCTGCATCCCTACTTGTACCCGATGAGGGGAGCGTCTGACTCTCGAAAGCTCAGGCCCCCGGAAATGTTGTCTGTCTCGACTCGAATCTAGAGACTGTCAAGTTATTTCCACCTTAGATAGACATGACTGAAATTTCTGTGCTCGCTGTTTAGTCTGTAACTGGAAAATGGTTCCTTTGCTCTGTTTCTTCGACGTCATATTCTTTCCAAGCGGTTCCATTCCAGTGTTCCCCCCCCCTTCCCCAAATCTTTTTTCTGGCAACTTTTTTGAAACTTAAAACTCAGTTGCCGCACCAGCCAGTGTGTATCGACTAAATGCTAACCGAGGCTTCCTGGAGCTTCTCTCTCTTTTACCGTTTCCTTCTTGCCCCCTTCATCTTAAAGAGGCTGATGTTTTTCCTCTGCGCTTTCCTGGAACGACCTTGAAAGAGTCAGTTCCTGTGTGTTCTTGGGAAAGCTCTAACACAATTCCCGTTTGTCAAGTCTTTTCTTTGTCCCGACCCGAGAGGGGTGATCAAAATCACATAAGGCCTCTTTAAAAAGAAATAAAAAGCGGGAGAAAGAACGTTTGTGGCAGGGAGGCACCAGATATTTTGGTAACTGGAACTTCATTCTGGATAAACATAGGATCTTGCTTGGCGGCAGCGGGCATTGCATTCTGACTGTTCTCCCGAGTGCCAAACCAAGAACACGGCTGCCTCTGAGGATATCGGCATGTCAGTAACTGGTCAGGAGGGGGAGGCAGAGATACAGCTATCGGGCATCTACTTGGTCAGACCTGCTGCGTGTATTGTACATAGTTGTGCGTGTTTTGTTTTGGGGTTTTTTTTTGCACAGGAGTAAATGACTAAAAGAAGACTGCTTTAGAAAAGTCATTGTGGAACTTCAGTGGTTTTGTGTTCAGTGCACACACTTAGGAATGTTATTCCGGCCAATGAGAATAATACCTGCGTGACATCTGGTCCTAAAAGAAGCTTCACGAGGAGTGTTGGCTGTAGGGAATGGAGGCACTAGTGTGAGTTTACACTCAGATGTTCACACTGAACTATACCCCACTCCAGAGCAGTGTTCCCTCTAAGCTGAGTTAGTGTGAGCTAGCTCACATTTTTTTAGCCTCTGGCTCACACATTTTTGTCTTGGCTCAGGAAAGATGGCTCCAGAGCAAACTAATGTATGCAGTAGCCAAATCCCTCGCTCACAACTTTAACACCAGTAGCTCACAAAGTAGAATTTTTGCTCACAAGACTCCAGAGCTTAGAGGGAACATTGCTCCAGAGTATTGTTGTTCTACAGGAAGAGTCCAGGAGCACCTTCAAGACTGACAAAATTTGTGGCAGGGGAGGAGCTTTCGTGTATCCCTGCTCACTTCTTCAGAACTTCAGAGACTCATAGAATCATGGACTCATAGAGTGGGAAAGGGCCATACAGGTAGTCCAACCCCCTGCTCAATGCAGGATCAACCTAAAGCATCCCTGACCAGTCTTTGTCCAGCCACTGCTTCAAGACCGCCAGTGAGGGGGAGCTCACCACCTCCCCAGGCAGCCGATTCCACTGTGCCACAACTCTTAGTGTAAAAAAGTGTTTCCTAATATCCAGCCAGTACCTTCCCACCCTTGATTTAAACCCATTATTATGAGTCCTATCCTGTGCAGCTCCCTGCCCTCCTCTAAGGGACAGCCCTTCAAACACTTCAAGAGAGCCATTCTGTCCCCCCTCAACCTCCTCTCTTCTCCAGACTGAATATCACCAAGTCCCTCAGCCTTTCCTCGTGGGGCTTGGTCTCCAGGCCCCCGATCATCCTTGTCACTCTCCTCTGCACCCGCTCCGTTCTGTCCACATCCTTTCTGAAATGAGGCCTCCAGAACTGCACACAATAGTCCAGGTGCGGCCTGACCAATGCAGTGTACAGCAGGATTATGACATCTTGTGATATGGTTGTTATGCCTCTGTTGACTCACCCCAAGATTGCATTAGCCTTTTTTCCCCTCCGCATCACACCGGCTGCTCATGTTTAACTTACAGCCTACCCATACCCCAAGATCTTGTTCACGCACACTGCTACCCAGACTCACGAAAGCTCCTCCCCTGCCACAAATTTTGTCAGTCTTGAAGGTGCTCCTGGACTCTAGCTCTTTTCTGCTGCTACAGACAGACCCCCACAGCTCCCCATCCTGATCTATCTCTAAGGAGGGGGCTAGTCTTCATGATCTTTCTGGATTTCTGCCTCTCAGCCCACCGCTGCTGAACAACGTCCCTTCTTTTTTGGGGTGCAGAAAGAACTGCCACGCCAGGCAAAACGAATGGGTATGTTGCTGTTCGGCACGTGTGCCAAGAGTTGCCTACCTCTTCTTTGGGCTAAGCTGGTTTCACGGCATTGGGATCTGAAACCCCCCAGTCTCTCTGCTCTGGTTGATATATGCAGAGTCGAGCACAGATCGTGGTGGGCTGGTGGCTAGCACAAAATGGGAGGCTGGGCTGGCCATTTCTAAAGGGAACTCTCCCCACATCGAAGAAGATCCCTCGTAGTCTCCTCTGAAGCACATCTGGCTACAGTGGAAGTGGATGGAAGCCAGGAACTGGCACTTTGCTTTGGGGCAGCAGCAAGCAGGGTTGGAAAACCCCACTGGTAGGCATCTTGGCACCCTTGAGCACTGTGTTGGGGATCCCTGCAGGGCAGCCTGGTCTTGTCTTATCCAGCTCCCTCCCTCCCTCCCCTACCTTTCAGAAGTCCCCTTTTCAGAATCCCTGCCGACGACAGAGACCCAGGCAAAGTGGCCAGGGAAGAAATCAAATGTTATTCCACTCTAGTGAAAGGTCCCTAGCGATCAGGCAAGGAGGGGACCCCCCAGAATAGCATTACTAAAGCTTAAATATCTACTAGAGCCAGTTTGGTGTAGTGGTTAGGAACGCGGACTCTAATCTGGGAGGACCGAGTTTGGTTCCCCACTCCTCCACATGCAGCTGCTGGTATGACTTTGGGTCAGTTAGAAGCTCTTTCAGAGCTGTCCTCTCAAGGACAGTTCTCGAAGGAGCTCTCTCAGCCCCACCTGCCTCACAGGGTGTCTGTTGTGGGGAGGGAAAGGGAAAGGAGATTGTAAACCACTCTGAGATTTCCACGGGTAGTGAAGGGCGGGGTATAAATCCAATCTCTTCTAGATTGATACAATCACGTAATAACCCAACCCGTTAATTAATACTAACACCCTTATTCTGATGTTATCTCTCAACACTCCCTCAGCTGATTTCCCCATGTTAATTAAATGTTAATTGTCTAAGCGGCTCCTTAGTCAGCAATATAATTTTTCTAGCGAGCAAACTTCCTTGAGGAAAGAATTGTTACAATCTCTGCGTGCCTGACAGCAAATCAAACATAGCAGTCTTTGCCATATAAGCTCCTTGCATGAAGCTTCTGCCTTTACAGATGGGAGGGGTTCCAGACAACGGGTTGCCAGTCTCCTGGCAGGAGAAAGGCCCAAATCTTGTCCCTCACACCTTTCACCAGTGCCTTCAACAGCATTTTGGGAACTACATTTCTCTTGGACACAGGAATGGGGCTAGACTTGCATTCGAGATATGGGGGAAGCGGGTGTGAGAGACCAATGCAGATACCTCCCTCCTTCCCTTCCTGTTCTCCCCAGAGCTGTGGCATGCACAGCTGCCATCTGTGCAATCACCAGAACAAGTGCCTTGGGGGGGGGGGGGGGCACCCCAGAGCTGTGGCATGCACAGCTGCCATCTGTGCAATCACCAGAACAAGTGCCTTGGGGGTGGCACTCCATGAAGGAGGTTTGGAGCTGATCTCTTAAGCCAAATGGAAATGCTTGGTGATCCTGGGGAGTTGCATTGGATACAGTTCCATTTGGGCTTCCCCCGGCATCGACCAAGTGTGTCTTTCTCACCCAGTTCATATTGAATTCTGCTCGGAACAATGGATCACCAGTAGAAGAGAGCAAGAGTCCAGTAGCACGTTTAACAAAAAATTGTGGCAGGGGATGAGCTTTCATGAGTCACTTGTCAAAGTCATTCTCGCTGTATGTGAAGAAGTGAGCAGTGACTC